CAAATACACATGCACATAATTACAAATTTCATTAATAGAAACAAAAGGAAACAAATTTCACTATCCATCTTCACCTTTACATGAAATTACAAAGTACTCATTGTATAAAGTAGAGAAAAATAAGAAAAAAAGTCCTCAAAATCATCCAAATTACAAAAGCAACAAATCAACAAACAGCTTAAGAATACTTCCTTTAAGCGACAAATCCAAACATACCATTTTACCTCTGAAGCTCACTGTTCCTCATCCCCTTCTCCAAGGCAACAAAGCTCCTCTTCTCCGACTCCAAATCGACATCCTTCGAGTCATCATCATCCCCTCCGGCCTCCTCCGCATACTTCCGGCTCAAAACAAGATAAAACACCATCGAAGAAGCCACAAAGACGGCAAGAATCAAACTGAACTCAATATTCACCAATGATTTTGCTCTGTGCAGCGCTTCCTCGCTCCCGCACCGAACCACCGTGTGTCCTTCCTCTTCATTAATGAAACAACCTCTGGCGATCAGCCCCGGCGTCCACAACGCGAATCCCATCACCACAAACCAAATCCCCTGCAAAGCAATACTCGCCGATCTGACAAACCCTACCGCGAAGCTACACGGGTGGCTGATGCCCATGATGGTGGTGATAAGCGAGACGGCTACTACGAGCTGGAGGAGTGAATGATACTGCCCTTCCACCCCCATGTGGTCGGAGGAATGGAGGTGGAAGAGGAAGAGCTGCTGGGCGAAGGCGGCAGAGGCGGCTAGGATTGTGAGCGGCTCGGCAGCAGGGCGGGGGGATCGGGCCGAATCGAAGATTAGGGCGAAGAGAGAGTAGAGTAGAAAGGTGAGGGAGATGGAAGAATGTTCGAAGTTGTGGAGATGGTTGGAGGGGATGGTTAGATCGGGGTCGAGGGGTTGATGGCGTTCGGTACCGATGAAGAGTTCCATGGTGATGGAGACGGAGCAGGCGAGGGAGATGAAGAGGAGTTCGAGGTGGCGGAGCTTGGGGAAGGGGAACCAGAGCAGGGAGCGGTATGATTTGGGGTGGAGAGAGAAGAGTTTAATGTGGTTGAAGAGGTGCCATATGCCGATGAAGAGGAAGCCGAATCCGGGGGCGACATGGCCCAATAGGGTTCCCATGATTTGATTAATTGGCTGATTGGGGATTGGGGATTGGGGAT